TTGAGGAAGTTGAAAATAGAGCAGGTCAGCAAGCGGCCACATCACAGAAAGCCCTGTCACTCCTTCTCTTTCTCCCCACACCCTTTCTTGTTTATTTTTTCAGTTTAAATATCTTCTACCTTTAAAACACTTACAGCAGTTCATCTGTGGAAGAACGATAGCGTTCTGGATCTGTCTGCAGCCTTATGTGGGTTTTTTCCTGAGAGGGACAGTCACCCATCTCAGACATGGATATTTGGGAAGTTCCTGAGTGGGAGTGGAAGGTGGGGCTCCAGGCCCTGTGTGTGCCAGTGGGAGTGGGTATTTGTGCACTCGTGTTCCCCCAGCTGTTTAAGAGAGATATATTTGTACCTTGTAAGCAAAACTCTCCTTATCGATTAACAGAACTGGCAGAGTGACTTATTGCCATAGAGGCATTAAAAGCAGGAAAGGACAGAACATCATTTTTAGATTGGCTATAATTCAGAGATATTGCTTATGTTACTGTGTCTTGACAATATATTTTAAAAAAAATTGCTCTAAGCTTGGGTACCAGCTATGGAGATAAATGTGCGATCACGCCATTGCTGTTAGACATACCGAGAAAAATATTCTGGGACCCTGAAGGCTGGACTGAGCATGCCTGCGCTGGCTCCAGGAGGATGATGGTCTGCGCAGAGCCTACGGGTACTTATTTGGGTGGTGGGGAGAGGCTGTTGCTCCACAAGAGAGGCCGGTCCTGGGTGCTGAGCAGGGGACCTGCGGGCTGTCCAGCCAGGGGCTTGGGGTATAGGTGACGTTTGAGTCCTGGCCCCTCCCGAAGCACAGCTGTTTCTGTCCAGATGGTGCGCTGGATTTTCCTTTGGGAGTAATGGCTAATTAAAAAGGCTCATTGTTTCGATGACAGCTGTGAAGGTAAAGGTGATGTTTGGCTCTGACGTGATAGATGGAGAAACAGCCTTGGGAGTCCTTGAGTCTAACAGACGTGGGGGTGGGAGCCCTGTGTGACACAGCCATGGGAATTCTCTCCAAGTCCTCTATTAGTCATGAGAGTAGGCAGCCTGCCTTGCCTGTGCGGCCTTTTTAGCAACAATTACAGAAAATATCCTAGGCGTCAAGGGGACAAAAGAGGGAAAGGACTCTTTTAGAGACCTACAGAAGTGAACTGTGAAGTAAATCCCTAAGGAGATCAGTCATCGCTTGGCAAGTCCAAAGCCTCCTCTAACTTTGAGCTCCATGGCAGTGTACTAAGAAACTTTCCCCTTCACACCACAGCTTCCCTCCAAGCAAGGAGAAACATGGAGGGCGACATCGTCATTAGCTGAGATGTGCTCTTCTACTTATGCCTCTGCAGTTCTGGCCCCGAGTTTCTGCTGCAGCAGTGCCATACAAAAAGAGCGTAGTGGGTAAGACAGGAACATGCCTGTGGCTTTGCCTGCCCTTGCCTTTGTAAAATGAATTTGGAGACTTCCAGTAGAGATCATAACATGTTGCAGCCACAAAACCTGGCCTGAATGCTTGGATCATTATCAGTACAGACATTTAGCTATAACAACATTGAAGAAGAAACATTATTTGTACTTGCAAAGGGGGTTACTGGCTACATGTAGAGTTAGTATGTCTAATCAGTAACCGCTGCTGGTTTCTTGAGGCCAAGGCAGGTGATTTGGGTTGGGCTTTAATACAAGGCGTGGCGTATGTCTGTTTGTTTATATGACACCCAGGAGTACGTTAATGACTTGTCCAGTGTGAGTAACGGGTCATGACGCCTCTCAGCAGCGGTGTCTAACGTGGAGCTGCTGAGACAGGTAAGGTAGAGGTGGAGAGTGGCAAACGATGTCAGCTGGTGAGAGGGGGCCAGAAGGAAAGAGGAAAAAAGGGGAAGACAAAGTTCTGAGGGATAGAAGGGGAAAACTGAGAATGGAAGATTCAATCCACTGAAAGACAGCAGCCTTTATCTCAGAGGTAGGATTAAGAACAAGAGCAGCGGGGAGCTGTGAAGGAAGAGAAGAGATTCAGGATAGATCTGGTGGTGCTGAGGCCACCTGGGATGTAGAGGAGGCTAAGCATGAGATGTTCATATTCAGCAGAGATGCCGCAAATCAGACTGAAGCTGATCTTTGATGGAGATGAGAAATTCTTGGCAACGGTGGTTGACTGCGCATTCAGACGGGAGACGAAAAACATGGGGCCATGCTTGAACTTCTGCATCAATTCCTAGCAGACAGCTATCCACACTGGTGCTAAATTGTTGGCAGTCTTACCACTGAGGCCATGGAGTAGGTAGGTATTTAGGCTACAAATGTCCCTCCTGTTTAGGGGAGGGTAGCATAGTGAAACCAGTGCAGCCTGTGCTCTGTTGTACCTAAATGAAGAGTGCTGTCAGTCCAGGAGCTTTCTGGAAGAAAAGATGGCATCTTTGGCAAGACCTTGTGGGAGTTGTTAAATTTTCTGTTTTTTTTATTAAACTTTTCCAGCCTCTGCAGTTTGCGTGGACTTCCTAAAGCTGCTGAGCAGAGACACAGCTGGAGCGAGTGCGAGCCCCACAGCCAACATTTGCCACTGATTAAGAAAAGGGCTGCACCAACATCAGCCTGCGAGGTTTTACCAAAACCCCTCCCCAAATGTGCCTTGCTGATCCCACGCAGGCAAGCTTACTTACGCCGATGCATTGGAGTTTGGAGCAGCGAATCTGCATGAAAATAAACATCCGATTTCCTGTGTTATTGCATAGGTATGAAAAAGTAGATAAAAAGAGGTCATAAGAATGGCAACGCAATGCAAATGCTGTACTACTATGTTTAAAAGAGAAAGGACATGTTATTAACAGAAAAAGTTAGACTGGGTGAGGCTATACGGCTTCGGCTTGCTTCCCTGTGATACCTCTGGGTCTGAATCAGGTCCACACTCAGATTTCCGACCGTGAAAATGGTGGCTATTTAAAGAGCAACAAATATTCTGGAGTATTAAAGATGCTTCAAATTTGTTATGTGTTTATTGTAATGAAAAATGATGTTATTAGTTCAGCTGGTTGGAATTTTTTATGTGGAACATTGATCTTCTGAAAAATGAGGCTCTGCAGAAACTGACTCAGGGTGTATGACGGCAAATTATTTTTTTTTTTAAGAAAATGATATTTTAAGGAAAAAGGAAATATTTATTTTAAAAAATGCCATATTTGTGTGAAAAATGTTGGTAGTTTTCCAGCCAGCACATCTTACAGTGCCTACAGTCTGTAAACTGGTGATTTATTTTGTCTAACTGAAGGTAAAGAGCATTTTTCTGTCCTGTTCGACGGGGGATGGATTAGGCCCCAGAAGAGGCTGTCTGGTTACCATTATTTTACACCCTTATGATGTTTCCCGAGACATTGTTTCTGTAAAGTAAACTTTACAGTTATGCCCCCTTCACTCAGCTTGTAAACAAACCTTTCTAGGGCTAGTTAGAGCTGCCAGATGCCTTTTGTACGTATGGTGTGCGCTCAGAAGTTGCCTCTCAGTGCTGGGGGTCCGGCCACCCCGGTCCTGCGTCTCCTGGGACTGGAAGGAAAATAAGAGTTCTGGCTTCTCCACCTGAGAGAGGGAGGATTTCTCTGCATCTGTGTAGCCTCATACACCTTAACTTGCCTATACGGAATTTGTTTGGTCACCTACATGTATATTCACAAATTGTACCCCTCTTTGGAGTGAGAAATCAAAACGGAGCGTTCCCTTTTTTATAAAGCAGTAGTTAATTAATTCTGCTCATGTGCATGTAAAGGATTGTTTCTGTTTTGAAGCCTGTCACTCAAAATTAACACAGACTATGTACAATTGAAAAAAAAAAAAAAGATTTTTGGATATATATTTTATTTGACAGTGGTTTAGAATATCATACAGTAAACAAGATTTCTGTAAAAGTTAATTTATCCATAGTGGTGCGTTTCATAAAAATAGTTGCTCACTTACAGCCTTTCTGTGACTATTAATACATGGAATTATATTTATAGAGATAGAGCTGTACAGGGTAAATTCACAGCTAACACTACACAGAAATATTATTTGGAATGGGGTTTAGATGATGTGCTGTCTTCACAGGTTATCGATTACAGCCGCATAAAGCAATTACTGCACAAGGAGTAGCTGTGAACTGTGCAAATTAGAGTTTATGCAAGCATAATCTCAACTGTTTTTCAGATTTCATTGTTTGCTCTCTTTATACATAAAAATAAGATACTGGGACGTGCATCTACACTACAGAAGCATTGTCCAAAATCAGATTCAATAAATTAATGGCAAATTATATTGGATTCTAGTTCAGGGGATAAAGATTTTTTTTTCATTAAATAAGAGTTTTATAAACAGCTACATGGACTTGTGCTTTTTTAGAAATTATAAATGGATTTTTCTTTCTAAAAAAAATTGTTTGAAAGCTGCAAAATCCTTGACTTGAGGCTTTTCAAATAATTGGACAGGAAGAAACATGCCTATAAATTTCTCAGTCCAGTGCAATGTTTGAGACATACAGTAATGTGCTAATTTCTTGGAACAAAGCCAATCTCAATCTAATTTTTCAGCAGAGCATGTGAGGAACTAAGATTGCTAGAGAACATTAGTTTTTAAATATGAATTTTCGACAGTACTTAGTTTTATGATTTTTTTTTTAAATTACCAATGCATTATTGCCCAGGATTTTGTTTTAATTTTGACAGACAAATAAGCATATGCACACTTACACAGACACACGCGCATCTTTTTGAAACAAGATAATGACTGATTGACTGAACTTGGAGTTATTTCCTGTGAAGGCAGACTGGAATGTTTACCTGGCACTTAAGGCTTGAAATTCAAAACAGACAAGCAAGAAAGATAAAAACCAAAAAGATCAAAAAAAAAAAAAAAAAAAAAAGGAGGTAGGGAAGAAATGATAAAATGGAAACCATTTTAAAAATGGAAATGTGTCGAATTTACTGAATGAGAACACCGACAACTGTATTTCAGAAACCAGTCTAATTATTGTTAACGTGCCTTAGAGGCACCTGCTCTGCCAAACTGAGGGGATGACGGGTGAGAGTGTCCTAACTAAATGTAGACGGGTATGAAACACAGCACTGTTGATAAGTGAAGCTCTTGTTTTCTGCAGGAGGGAAAGGCCTTTCCTTAAGGAAACTGCAGCTTTTTCTCTGTAGCTCTCTACCTTTCATTGCAAGGGCCTTGCAGACGTCTGGGTTTTGAGCCTGACCAATTGGTTTGTGTGCTACCTCGCAGGATTTGGGGAACCTGTAACAAATCTCTTTTGAGAATAATTTGCAAATACAACTCCACCCTAACTCCTTTCCAATGTACAGAAACATGGTTCGTTCACAAAAATGGCAGTAGAAATGGTATCACAGAAACTAATCCACCGGATTCCCCGCTCCTCCCGTAGCGCCCGGTGAACTATGCTACAGGGTATCACGTGGACTATCCCAAAGCGTTAACAGTGGAGACGTGTCACGGGTGTACAGTTCCAAACGATGCTTCAAAGAAACCCTTTAACCCCTGTCTAGATATGTCGAGAACAATTTATTTACAACATTTTAGCTCCATGAACAGATCCTCTCTCGGTTTCAGCTTGCTCCGTGCAGTTTTATTTAAGGCGATGTTCCAGTTTGTGATTGCTCTAACTTGTTCCAGTTTCTTGATATAAAGTTTGAATGAAATCCAAGTCCTTCATGCAGTGGGGAAAAAATGCTAAAGCTACACTGCACTATCCTTCTCTGATGTACTGTCCTTCATATTGTTTTGGTTTCTTCCATAGCTGCCAAAGTCCCTAAAATGGAACTGGGACTTTAGGGTCGATTTTAAATCTCCGTGTTGACTATATGCTTTTGAACTTATTAGATACTGTGCACATTGTCATGGAATTACACACTAATGTTTTCATTCCTCAATGCTTTGTGTATATGTGTGATAGTTAAAATAAATTAAAACAAACCAATGTGAGACAAAAACTAAGAAGAATGTTCTGCGTCAGTTTGAGACAGTTAGAGGGCAACAGTCCCTTGCTTATCTGCTCATGGCAGAAGTACCAGACTTCAGGACGCTAGGTAGCTTATCTGAGCCAGGGATTTTCCACGGCCCTGGGGAGACCGTTGCCTTTCGAACTGTGGTGTTGGTGCTGCGAGTGCTAATGGAGTGGAGATGTCCCTTCCTGGGGAACTCGCTGGGTTTCCCATCAGGGTCCTTCTGGCTGTGGTCCATATCAATTCCAGGCGAGCTGCAGCGGTTGCTACTGTACGTCTTGGTAGCACCTGTATCAAGCTTGACACGGTCGGATGCTGCAGCTGACTTCTTCTCACTGGTATTTGTGGATTCTTTTTTGCTAAGAGATCCTCCTCTCTTGCTTTCCGGCTTCCTCAGCCTCCCAAACTGTTCATCACTGGTTCCAGCACACACGTGCTCTCTCGCGCCAGCCTCAATCATTAGGCTGTGTCCCACCACTTTGCTTTCTGAGGTGGGCCTGCCACCATCAGTGGTCTTATTTTTGCCTTCTGAATATCCTTTCCAAGAAGCCTCTTCATGCTTTGACCTGTCTACCTTTTTAGGACTTGCTGACCTTTCTCTTTGTTCTCCTAACCTTTTCTTTTTGTGACCGTTCACCGAAAGCTCCTTTGGTTTCCTTACATCGTGTTCCCTCTTGATATCCCATGCTGGCTCTGGGCTTATCTGGTGAGAAGGGTCAGAGGGTGGGGCTATGTGTGATGATTTTTTTTTAAAGAGCTACTTCCGGCAGACCTGGGGAGGTGGCAGAGGGACCACTCCAGGAGTTTGGTTCGTCTGTTGTAACAACAAAGAGAAGGGAGTTAAGGGCGTATTCAGCAGCACAGAGTGTGTATTGCATGGGCATATGTATTCTGAGCAACATCGACACCCAAACCACATACCAGACTTAAACTCCTCTGCCTTAGGTGAGGTGAAACTCCCAGGGGAGTCAATGGGGAGGAAAACAAATTTAATCTCCCTCCCCCCCCAAAAAAAAAGTTCAGGAGAAGCAAGAACCACAGGGCTGGTAACTGCAAATTCTGGAAACCCCAGTCTTTTTTCATACAGATTCTGCTTTCCTCTGCCTACGTTAAATTATTCTTAAAATAATAAAGGCACGTGCTCATGAAATCAAATTGCCTCTTTTGTAGCTGTATAATGGATTTCTTAGCTGGGCAATATCAGCGCTGTCTCTGAGGACAAATGAGAAGGACTTTCTGCCATCTATTAAACATGTCCCTACAAGCATATAATAATTGACAAGAATTTGTAGCTCAGATAAGGTCATCATTGAATTCTGCCTCATATTTTTTCTAAACAGATATAATATTGCAGTGTTTATGGCCCCACAATTCTTACAGGGTACTTACAAAGCTCTGCCTTTATATCACAGCGTCAGCCTGAGTCTTTTGGCTGTGCATTTTGAATTTCTCCTGGTTACTTAGCCTCAACACAATATGGTTGGATTGTGCAGATCCTGTTTAATTTAGATAAATAGACATCTCCTTTGCTGAATCATGATGATTTTCCTAATCCATTGGTGCAAAACAGAATATTCTGAGATGCTTTTCTCTTGCATACACGATTTCTTTTGATTAACATTCAGGCAGACAACGAATCCATCATGACTAATGACAGCACGACTCTGATTCTTACCCGTCTACATAGAGGTTAGAGAAATCACTGAACTTGGCTAATGTCATTCCCTATTTAGCACCATTGCCTGGCTCTGTGCGGTATGAGCAATAATCTGTCAGAGATGAAGGACTATCTCAGGGATCCATGGAAACAAGGTGGAACTTGTGGCAAGAGCCGCATATTTTATGGGGGGAGAAAATGTAACCTTCTAGCTGAAAAACAAGCATGGACTTCTGCGGGTCAGGACTAGCATCTCTCAACGATACCAACTGTCCTTTAAAAGATACATTCATTTTTCTCAGCGCTTCGGCTGCCTTCAAATTATCATGAAGATGCACATCGTCTCAAAAAATGGAATGGCTTTTACTGCCCAGCCTGGGATCTGCAGCTTGCTTGACTGAGACGGCAGTTTTAAGTTAATAGCTTGATTGAGTGATTGCTGTCTTGCAGATAAAAATAGGAGAGACAATAGTGAGGTGGGTGACGTAAAGGGAGGGAGCAGCGCAGTTAGCTGAGGAGCTATTTATTTTCCCAGATGGTGTTTGTCATATGCTTTTGCATAATGAGCATATGTGTGGAGAGGATTAGCATTTGAGAGGGGAGAAAGTACAAGTTCTGCCTAAGACAAATAAACTTTGAGCTGGGAATCTAAATGGGCTGAGGGTCTCAACTGAATTTTTTTTAAAAAATCACACTTTCTTACCCTCCAGTTAAGGCTGAGTAATGTACCATCTGCTCCCTGCTTGGCACTTGAGCTGGGAAACATAAAAGGAAGGCTCGTGCATGTAGAGTGATCAGCTCTTAGGAGCTTGCCTACAAAAAGCATCTGCTTCAATGGGCTGCTGCTTTACTTCTGCTCCTCAGCGCCGCCCCCCCGGTACAGGACTGCAGGCTGTGCCTGACGGGGGAGGCGCAGACCCCACCCCGGCTCTTTTTAGATCTGAAATCCAGGGGATCCCATTTTGGTTAACATTTAGAATCATAGATTCATAGAATCATTAAGGTTGGAAAAGACCTCTAAGATCATCAAGTCCAACCGTCAACCCAACACCACCATGACCACTAAACCATGTCCCTAAGCGCCTCATCTACACGTCTTTTAAATACCTCCAGGGTTGGTGACTCAACCACTTCCCTGGGCAGCCTGTTCCAAGGCCTGACCACTCTTTCAGTGAAGAAATTTTTCCTAATGTCCAATCTAAACCTCCCTTGGCACAACTTGAGGCCATTTCCTCTCGTCCTATTCACTTGAAGCGGGGACCATGCATGGGGTCCGAGTCACTTTGCCTGGTTCTCTAAAACTATCCCAGGACTCTGCCGAGCAGCATGAAGCTGCCTGTGTGCCCCAGTGAGGTGCCTGAGCTGGCACTAAACAAGCCACCTGGGACCTTAGAAAATTAAATTTGTGCTTTTCATGGCATTGTCACACCTCCCCAGGACAGAGGTGGTGCCGAGCGTTGGCCTGACCAACATATGTGACTTAACTACAGTCGTCTTTCCCAGTTGTGCACGGGATGATGTTTTCCACTGAGTGGCAGTGCAGTGGGCCATTACCAGATCTTGTGCAAGGCTTGGAGAACATCTGAAGTTACAGAAATAGCTTGTTACTTCGGGAAGTATCAGCTGCACACCAGTAAAAACATCAAATGGCCTGTAGCAGCAAGATGCTTTCAGTAACACATACTCTGTGCAGAATGTGCCAGTGTGCTCAGATCATCTGTTTCTCATCCAGGAGGACAAGCAAGGTGGCCACCATTCAAAACCAGGGTGGCAAACACCTCTCGCGGCTCCTCTGAGGCATGAAGGGCAATATTGTACCAGTTATTTGTGGGATACTCAGGGGAGGAGACCTGGGGGTGAGTGGCCTGCTGTTTCATTCCCTAGAGACAAGAGAACTGATTTATTAATGTACTGTGCCCCTCGACAATTTTCAGTTTTTTTCTTTTTTTTTTTTTGGAGGGGAGGGAAAAACCACCAAATGTTGCAGTGAGAAATCGTAGCGGCTTAGAACCTACTTCAACAAAAGTGAATCAACGTATTTGTTACACGTAATGATATATAAATATAGATATCTATAAACTAGGACATGCAATATTATATGCATTGCTGGATTTCTGCCTCTCCCAAAGAACAGCCTAAGAAAAAGACAACTTGGCCAACTAAACAAGAAGACTTGTAGCCACAGCTTAGAGGTAAGTCTGGCTGTGGGAGAACCCCATAGGTGGGCCACTGGCCGCAGTTTGTTTAAAATACTGTGCCTGGCCTTCTTGCTGGGGAGGCTCCTATATAGGCTGTATTTCCAGTGGCTGGGGGAAAAAGCTGCCATGAAATAAAGCTATCATTCATATTCTGTGGCAATATAGTACTTGCAAAAGAACTTGACAGAATGACTTTCTGTAAGGTTTAAGTACCATCAATCTGAGACAGCCAAAACCCAACCGAACCTGCTTTTTCTTTCAAATGAAATGAAATTATGTAGAAAGTCATCCCCAGCCTTGGTAGATGTTAATGTCAACAGGCCATTGTTGCAATACAATAGTCACTGGCTAGTGAGGACAATATTGATGTGAGAGTACTGTAACCAGCTTTCCTCTAATGTTTGAACATTATGGAAAAATATCAGAATTACTAGAGTAGAGCAAAGTGCAGTAATGTAAGTAATTTGTTGCTCAAAAGAAAAACCTTTTAAAGAGCTGTGTTCAAGCCATAAGAGTTCATTTGGACTTGTTCAACCAGCACTAAAATGATTGCTTTTCCATAACAAATATAAACAGGAGAAAAATTCAAAATTTTATTCTGTAGACCAACTAAATTAGTGATTTCTCTTTATACTTGTTCTGAGGTTATAGCTGCATTTTGGAGAGAGCTATTAATATTTCTGAATAAATATTTTTTCTGTAGTTTTAAAGCTTCATATAAAAGCTATGCGTTAAGTGTGAACATAACCTACTTTTACCGTCTGTTATTCCACAATACCTCAAAACATTTTGCAAACATACTAAATCAGAGACAGAGCAATGATTTTACTTTTTTCTCCCTTCACCTCTGGGAGGAACTGAAGACAGTAGTTGTTTAATAGAGCATGAACTACTAATGCCCAAACAACTTAAAAGCAGAAGTGAAGGATATCGCATTCGGCTGAAACTGCTGGAGAGATTTAGGGATGATGTAGTTTTAAATTTATTTCTGACTTTGTCACTATGGATATCATCCTTATTGTGGGAGAAATTGTTTTTTGAAGGTATACATCTCACTGAAGGCTAATAGATGCCTTCCTCCCTTCTTTGAAGGGAGAAAATGTCCCTTGACCTACTAATTTAGACAAGATAAATGAGCTGGGAGCAGTACTGTAATCTGTCACTGTGATGGTATTTGATTTGGTGTAATTTAGTAGGCGTTTTCTGGGTAGCCTTTAGTTTCCACAAGCTACTGTCATGCAGGTTGGCGGCACGTCTCCATGGGATGTGTAAGAATGACTCACCTATGACCTGTTTCGCATAACTCCTAGGGAAGGAGTAAATTGCTAACTAAGTAAGAGATACCACAGACACAAGACTTGAGTGTGTAGGAGGACAAGTAGGAGATGAACACAGCCATTTTGGGGGAAGAGTGACAAGGGAAAACATCAGGAGCAGAAGTTTTCTGTCTAGAGGCTTTTTTGTTTGAGGTAGAACTGCCACATACATGAATTCTTTGCTATGCTACGTCAGCTTACACACGTTCAATGGAGTGGAAATGAGGGTACTACTCTGGCGTACCTACTTGCTCCTCTCTTAACCAAAGACTAGTCTTCTACCTGGGTCCAGTGCTCGCTGATGGCTTACGTCTGAATCACTAGCAAAAGAAACCTGGGTTTACTGCTAACGGAGCAGAGGTGTGCCTGTTTTACTTTCTGAGCATTGCCTAGGTGTGCCTTAAGTCAGAGGAAAGAGCTCAGCCTACTGATAAGTTTATTTAATTTCCTGCAATACTTACATTTTTTTAGAGGTTGCTCTTCTAAGATTCTGTCAGGTCTAGTCTTGCTGTGCCTATCTGCTCTGCCAAGATCTCAAGTCAAGAGCGATTAGACCTCGGATTTATTACTAAGTTCTTCTCTTGCATCAAAATATTTTAAATAATTGCTCAGTACTTTATCAAGAATGTGGGATTTTCCGTCA